CTAGCCTGGGCGAGACTCGAGGCGGAGATGCTGGGAGCAGCGGTGCTGCATCTCCTCCGCCCCAGGGCAGCGCTCGGCCCGGCCCGGCCCGGCGGGAGAGCCGCCCCGGGCGGGGGCGTGGGAAGGAAGGGGGGGTACGAGCTTCTGCTGGAGGTGAGCAGACTTTGTCAGTGTGCTTTTTTTTTTTTTTTTTTTTTTTTACCGTAGAAGCCATCAGATTTCAGTTGCTCGCTCTGAAAGAACTGCTGATGGCAATAAACAGACTCACAAGGTAGAAGTTTGTTTCTCGAAAAGTTTACTTTTTATCTGATAGGCATTGGTAAATTTATTTTTTTTTTCTCCACTAAGTAATGATCCAGCTGTTTACAGGGACAATTCACTGTGCTGGTATTTTGGTGGCAACCACTGCTACAGGCTTTCAGACTTGCTGAAATGAAAATCCTGCATACACATTTGTAAGGCATAATAAAACATAACATTAAAACCTGCATGCATGTTATGTTTAATCAAAGACAACTCTTAGGCATTTAAGTGGTGAGATATCTTACTTTAGGTTAGTTAAACTGGTAGTAAAATGATTAATATAATCTGATCTCTTTCTAATAATAATAATAATAATAAAACACTCATGATTCTAAATAAAAGTTGTTTGGCCTAAATCTTTGCTATCAGAAAAGAGATATAGCATATCTGGGAACTCAAATTTATGTCTTGCATTGTGATAATTCTTTATGAGAAACTGTGTTTTAAAACAAACTTAATTACGATATACAAGATATCCTTGGCAATGGATAGTCCTCAATAAAACAGAGTTTCTTGAATTTTCAGTTTTTGGTCTCAAATGATTAGTGTGTTCTCCATGTAATAACTTAGAAATCAGATTGCAAACAAATGACATTTATCTCTTCTAAGGCAAAAGAGTGAAAGAAAGTAGATACACTGAAGTGCTCTAGCCTAGCTATTCACTATCCTGCTATCGAAAATCCGTTCTTGGGCTAGGGTGATGGAGTAAGTTGATCAGGTTCTAAGTCTTAAAACTGAGCCAAAATTCTCTTAGTAATTCTTCAAGCTATCATGAGAGTATGGGGACTTGTACTTCCAGTCCCTTCCTTCTGATATGCATCCTTGTTTATTAAAGTGATAATAGGCAGTGTCATTAAACATTTGTGCTTTACAGATGTTCAATGAGTTATGAACGATTATGGTCAAATATAGGCTGCATTTAGTTTGCATTGTAATAAGGTCTGTGTCTCAGCCTACAAAAGTTTTGACTTGCGTATATTTTTGGAAGCTGTTTTTAAAATTACCATTTAAAATATTAGTCAAGGATAACTGATTGAAAGGATCCGAGTATAGAGCAGTCAGGCATATTTTAAAAGAGCAACAGGTCTACTTTAGTCAAAGAATATAATACCCACTCAGAAGTATACCTTTTCTTTCTTCTAGATGGGAATTATACAATACTATATCAGAGGAATATTTTGAGTGAGGGTATATGGTGCAGGGAAACAACTTTTTGTCCAGACAGTTGAGTTTCTTTTATTTCAGAGTTTATTGTTGCATATTGCTCAAGGGAAAATTAGGTAGTGTTCTATTTAAGCCACTACATTTTTAGGGCTGAAGTTTGATGCTGTTGAATGCCTAAGCTCCTGCTGATCTCAGAGTAAAAAAACAATCTTCTAATCATGAAAAATAGCATCTGCTAAGCTACTCTCGTATTTTTTTGCTTTGGTCATATCTACTAATATTCATACCTTCCGTTTCTCTTTCCTTTTGGTTTTTTTTAGTGTACATAGGAATCCTTGTTGACCTGCTAGAGCAGTCCTGTTGCAGGCTTAGTATCTCCCGTGGCCTTTTTTTCCACACTCTTTGCATTTATCTCCGTACAGTACTACTCTAAGTGTAATGGGACTCAGTGACAGAAGGGAGAAAAATGAGCTTTTTTTATGTGGAAAGACAATTTACTTGCTAACACTGAGGATGTCAACTCAATGTAAAACCTAATCAAACGTGCTGATTCTTTTCAATTTTAAAGTGAACATTTTTGTAAACTTACTATTTTTACCCTTTTGTTGGTTTTATTATGTTTTTCCTCTCTTCCTTTTAAAAGAACCACAACTAAAATATTTTCTTCCTTTAAGTGCAGTCTTTCACAAATGTGGTAGAAAGACTCATTCCAAGCATCCTTTAAGTGCTACATGCTCTTTAGCATTCACTGTCATTCAGATGAAACTTCTTCAAGTCTACTGAATGTGATTTGCATGTGTGCAGTCTGATCCTTCTTCGCTCATGCCTGTTTAAGGAAAGTGCAACTCTGTTGTTACACCACGGTAAAACTGGTGTGGGGTCAAAGTCAGGGCCATATAATTTTTAGGTGTTTGATATTCAACACAGTTCATTAAGTTCCAGTTCCTTTTTACATCTTCACAATTGTTACCTAGAAAGGCCTTAAACCTGCACTGGTTAAAAAAACCCAAAATTCTCATTGAGCTTAATGGGAGTTTTCGCCTCAAGGGCTGCTGGCAGGATAGGTGTCTTAGTTCCTCCTAACCTTCATTTGTAAGCATGGCCAGGAGAAAAACAACCAACAAAAACTTAATACAATGAGTTGCCTTACATTTCCCCTACTATACAGTTGTATTTCTTTGATTTATTTCCTTTCCCCTCACCCACATCGAAGGCTGTGATTGTTTTTGTTTTGTCTTAATTTTTTTGCACACTACCTATACCAATTAACTGCCTAATTAGTTTTATCTTCTCTACATGGATGCAGTGAATTTGTAAGAGAATTTCACAAGCAAGTAGTTTTTTAGTGAGTTTAAAGTAAATAGAGTTTTAAAGACCTATTTTTATATTCAATATAAAGCACAAATGTGCAGAAAGTGTAGAATGACTTACAAAAAGGGAAACAAAAGTTCGTAATATTTCATGTATAAAAGTAATACCTTCTTTGGGTTGAGATTCTCTTAGAAAACCCAATACTTATGCCAGTGCAAAGATAGGAATATTTTAAAAACTCTTAGAAAATTGTGATTGACAGCAATTTCAAAGGAATGACTTCTGTAGATACAAGGAAACCCCTAAAGCAATATGGATAAGAAGGGGTGAATGGTTTTCAATGATGAACAACAACCTGGAAGTGTGAGAATGGAGGTTTCAATCCTTATTAATTAATCAAATTTCTTCTTTTGTGGTTAGCTACAACATCTGGATTTTCTGTGAAGTGCAATCTTGCAGGATGAAAAAGCGCAAGCACGCCAAAATTCTAAGACTTGCGAATGCTCAGAAGCAGGTTTGATTTAGAATTATATGTTATTAATTAGGGCTTTAGGTTTTGGTAATTCCCACCTCCCAGAAAATCAAGACATTGATTCACCCTTTGAAGAAATTTGATCAAATAATAATGATTAATCCAGGAACTCCCATTGTCACAATTTGTTTTTGTTTCCATCGTCCTGCTTATCTCCAAAACCAACTTGCCTCAACTCCTGGTGAAGCCAGGGAGAAGAGTTATATGCCATTGTTAGTTCATTTACAATTTGTATCTGGTTTTGCTCTTGTACATATGTTGGCGTTTTGGAGTCTTTACATAAATGCTGTGATACTTTTTTTCTTCTTTCCTTTTTTTTTTTTAAATTTTTTTTTTTTGGTGGGCTGTTTTAAAATGGAGGCCTGTTTTCCAGTGTGGGACTTTTGATGGTTACAACATTTCAATGATGTTGCATGATGGCCACAGGTGGGGGAAATTGAATGTTTTAGAGCAGTTTTTCAAGCATGACACTTTTAAAATATGTAATTTCAAAGACTTTTCAAGGCCACATGAAATTAGTTTTCATAGCCACTCCAGGTCTTGGGGGGAAAAGCTGAAAAGTACTTTTGTTTAGAAGTCTGAGTGATGGTGGGGGGGAAACCTTTTCTTGAGGTTTTTGCATGCCAGTGCACGGCCTATTGCTGTGAGAGAAGGAAGATGGTAAGGCTGCTTGAGGCAATGCACTGGAGGACAAAGTGTTTTCTAGCACTAGGAAAAGAAAATGCATGGCAAAGTTTTGTCTTCTAGTAGACTATATAGCATGCAGAGTTTAGTATGTGTCAAAACAGTGTATGAC